AAGTGGTGGAGACTCTCCTGTATGGGTGCGCCTCGTGGAGCCTAACAGCGGAGCACTACACGAAGCTCAATGGGACCCACCGCCAGTTCCTCACACGGTGCATCGGCTGGAGCAAGCGGAAACGCTCAGAACGCCCCCTGTCCTATGCCCGGGCCCTCATGCAGGCAGGCTGCGAGGAAACCATCAAGGCCACCGTGCGCAAACGGAGACTGTGTTTCGCGGGCTTTGTTATGCGCATGGAGGACAACCGCCTCCCCAAGTGCATGCTGTTAAGAGCGATGGCGGGGGGCGTGGGATACCGGGGCGGGCAGGAGAGCGACTGGGTGTCTCGTCTAGGCGAGGACCTCGTGGCCTTCAACATGGGAGACGAAAAGGAATCGGGGAAAAAGCAAGAGAGTGCCAAGGACCCGGAGGTGTGGTACAACAAGGTCGAGGACGGGGCGGCATGGTTCATGAGGAAATGGCGCAGGCAGGAGGCGGAAGCGTCCGCGACGCGCCAGCGCGCGAGCGAAGCAGAAGCAGAGAGTACGGCCATCTTAGGACCGAACAGAAAGAGGGTCGGGGAAGCGGCGGTGGGGGGCAAGAAACGGCGACCGAGTACTGCTGTAGAAGCGAGTAGGGCCGCCGAGGCAGTACTGTGGCGAACTATGTAACCGGCTGATGTTGTTGCGCCCTGTTTCCCTCCCTGCTGTATGCTATACTCCTTTATATATGTCCTTTGTATTGCCTTCGGCCTCTGTGCTTCGTTTCTTTTTGTTTTCATTTCTTCCCTGACTACTCTGCTGTGTTGGGTACCTTGATCTTACTTTTGCTGTTGCTTCTTGTTTTTGTACATCTGGCTGTCTGCCCATCTGCCGCCTTTTCGTCCCGTCTGTTCCGTTACTCCCATGCCCTGTTGCGTAGTGCCTGGTGCTGGTACGTTACCCTTTGATTGTTACTTTAGGCGGGTGTGGGAAGCGTCCTCCTTTGTTTTTGTTTATTTTGATCGGTTTCCGACGGCTCTTTTCTCGAACGGTCGGTGCGTACCTGTTATTATATTTTGTGTACCCTATTTATGTTACACAGTTGGCCAGTGGGCACGGTTGTACGGGGGCGTTGTGTAACCTCAGGCCAACGAGGGGTTATTACATGGGACAACGTGGGGGGGTTATTGGCCGAGCGGGCATAACGTGCCGGGTTATGATAGCGGTTATGCGCGGATTGGTGTGAAGGAGAAGAAAAGGAAATAATATGTGAGCTTTCCCCTCCCTTCCATTCATTGTATTCCATTCAACCGTTGGGTTGATCAAGCGATATATCGGCAGACGATTTTCCTCTCTTTCGAGATGACTAGCGCAGGAACATCACACAACGCGGAGAGGATCGAACCAGCAAACTGTGTCTACAAAGTCTAACGAGTACCGCTACGCTTTATGTTGAAGCATATCACGTATTACTCGTAAATTCCATGAATTTATAGTGATGGGGGGGTTGTACTCATAGTCGTGCATGCCGTAGTCCTCAGACTATTGACCTCGCATCCCTACAAAGTCGGGATGGAGCACGCCGGGTTCCCACCGGACCAGGCTCTCACACCACCAAGCGCGAAGCGCCGTGAGATATTCGGCGAGTCGCATGAAGGGTGCGCTGCATCCTGCTAAAGGTGTTCGGCATCTTGTGCTTACTTCCTTGCATACGGATGACAACTGTGTATGACTTGATTCATTTTCTGGTGCTTTCACTCCCAGAGACAGTTGTAAGCACTGTGTNTTAAAAAAAAAAGAGGTACAAAAAAACGGTAACCTGGTTGCCGAGTTCACGAAATNCTGGGTGCTTGAACATTTTAACACAACGTGGTGCGATCATCCCCTTTGCACGGAGTGAGGGTTCTCCACCCCGCACAACATGATCTACTCGACCACCATTCATTATGGGTACCGCTTAAAAAAAAAAGAGGTACAAAAAAACGGTAACCTGGTTGCCGAGTTCACGAAATGAATTGGCTTGTTTTACAACGTCGTTGCCAAGCGACGAAAACCCAATCCCGATGGCAAACACCGAGAGGGGGGCTTGTTTTACAACGTCGTTGCCAAGCGACGAAAACCCAACCTGGATGGCAAACACCGGGGATAGTGATGGGGGCGGGAACAACTGTGGCAACATCACCCACCACGCGGCCGATAAGAGCACACTTACTCTGCCTTCCCCCTCACGCAACAAGCAGAAACTCCGAGTAATGCCTTTCATTACCAATCGTTCAATGGCAAGTTTTTGGCCAGCTAAGTTTTTATGTTCCACAGCAGCAACAACATATATACGAAGTATAGAGAATTATTTAGTGCTGAGCGCGCAATTCTTTTCAGTAGAGATACTATATATAATAATACTATATTCGACCATTATTGATATATAGATTAAGGAGACAGACGTACGTACGTACGTGATGTCGTATTGACTTTTACAGAGAGCAGCAGCGTGTGTATATAGCTAGTACCATATATCATCGTCTACTCTCTCTCTCTCTCTATCTCTTTTTTCAGTCCTTGCTTTGCCCCCCGATCGTTGCCGTGCGTGTTTCTAGGCAGCAAGATATATATATCAAATAGAGTAGGCCCATGTCTATGTTTCTTCCGGCAATACATCATGATCAGAAGATAAAGTTGGCGCTCGCACTTAAGAACTTGGCAGTTAAGAAATGCGGCTTCGAAAAAAATCAAAATCAAAGATATTGACCACATACAAAAAAATAACACGTGCGTGCTCAGGCCCGACGTGGTGTCAAGAACAAGAAGGAACCTGCCTTTCTTTGTGGTGTAAGAACAGAGGCCCCAGAACGCGACAGCTGCAAGATAATTAGCACTCACGAAGGGGTGAGGGGCTACTCGCGGGGTGACCGGTGGGCAGTTAGTTGCAGATCAGCGGCAAGGAGGAGGTTCCTTTGAAAATAGTGCTGGTGCGGAGATGGGGGGGGTGTACTGTTTTTATTTCTGCGCGTCTAACGGTAGTCAACAATAAAATCGGGCTGACAAATGCCGGCACTCTTGAAGCTTTTTTTTTATACTGCCGCGAATGTCCAAAAAATCGGTGTGTCGTGTACTCTGTGGACACCGGCTAGTACATAGTTTTCGCGGCAAGGCATGGACATTATCGGGCTTGGACAACCTCGCCTGCAACCAAGCACAGATACAAATGTCCCTTAACTGGGTTTGGGCCGGAGTTTCCGAACCCTGCCTGACCTTGGAGGTTGACAACGGTGCGCCCGACCGGGTTACGCAGGTTGCACAACGCCTAGGGGTTACACGTCACTTTAACCCCTCCGTAACCGTGCCCACTGACCACCTGTGTATGTTTTTTTTTCCCGCGGCGTCGTATGTGCCGGATATTGAGACCACGGACTCCTCATTTTCGTGGACTATGTTATGGAGGACCCGATTCGCAGGATATCCGTCGATTGACTTTCACCTGAATCGGTACACCTTCGCATGCCGCATGCGAAGGTGTACCGATTCAGGTGAAAGTCAATCGACGGATACCCTGCGAATCGGGTCCTCCTTAACACTTTTTACCCACAGAATTTACCCTCAACTGGGAACCTCATGTGGCCAGAATGGGTAATTCGATGGAAGGAAGTGTCACAAGGTTCGTTGTAGGATCGACTCCAAGAGGTGTTCTCAGGACTGACACACATTGTGTCCATGCGAAAATATCGAAGTCAGGAGAAAAAGTTTGCACCCAAGGAGATTCGAACCAGTATCCTGCCGCTGACGCCATATGCGAAGGTGTACCGATTCAGGTAAAAGTCAATCGACGGATACCCTGCGAATCGGGTCCTCCTTAAAAACTATAGATCTAATGAGAGAAACAACAACAAAAACAACAATAATGTGATCGTGGTGATCATGTTTATTTTGCGCCGTCGGATGCTGGGACGTGACGTCGTGCTAGGTCAGGGCTTTATGCCGAGACACATGTGACCTTCTGTTCAGTTGTTTGTTGTTGTTGTTGTTGTTGTTGTTTCTCACATTAGTTAGCTCTATAGCCCACAAAAAATGGGGAGCCCGTGGTCTCAAAACCGGGCACATACGACGCCGCGGGAAAAAAAAAATAGGGTACAAACCACTCGGAGAAAGAAAACAAAATGATAGAAAGAAAAGAACAGGGTGTTTGTTGATGTTGTTGTTGTCTTCACATTAAAAACCGTTCCGATCTCTCTCTTATCTACCCAGTACCTTCGTATGTCCGGATTGATCCAACACTCGACGCGGTCGATTCCCGTGGTCGCAGGCTAACTTACCNGTGTTTGTTGATGTTGTTGTTGTCTTCACATTAAAAACCGTTCCGATCTCTCTCTTATCTACCCAGTACCTTCGTATGTCCGGATTGATCCAACACTCGACGCGGTCGATTCCCGTGGTCGCAGGCTAACTTACCCTAGAAAGGTGTGTGCGTGCGGACGATCCATGATCGGGTGTGCGTGGGATATTGTGAGTTGGCTTGGAAGGCGTTAATCAAGAGAAAGGGAACAACGGAAAGCAACAACAACCTACTACTGTGGTCGGACAAGAGAGTTCCACGCAGGACAAAGGTAATTGATTCTAAAGGGAGGGGTCAAATACCATCAGTCTAGACTACACTGGCGTTGTTGGTTTTGGTCGTGTTGCTTGATTCTTGCGTTCAAATGATTTTGATATTTTCGCTTTTCCAGTCTGCTGAGTCGCGGCAAGTTCACCGCCTTGTCCCTCCTTCGGCATGTCGGCTCCTGATGAGCCGCAAAGTCACAGCGACTCTGCTGCCTTGAACCGGTTCCCTTTGTCGCCGCACAACACTCCTGATCATGATGATTCGCATGCTTGGCGTATAGCTCGCTCCGTGTTGATGAGGATTCGCCGAATGCCCTCTGCCCCTGTTCGCACCGCTGCAATTGCACGCAGAGACGTAGAAGCTGTATCCAGTGTATCTTTACCCGCCGTAGCCGAGAATCGTGCCCCGACAGCAGTCCCTCCTCTCCCATTTGCGCCAACACGCGTGCAAACATCGAGTTGCCTGCTGTTAGACGGCCACTGCGTCTAGCTGGTAAAGCACCATCTGACTATCGACCTCGCATGGTCAACGGCCGCTCCACTACGTCCTGTGCCTGCTCATGAAATTACTAAAAAACGACTACACCCAGTTGTACCCCATGGTAATGCAATATCGTCTGTTGGCCCTACCCTTACTATAATAGTACCCTTTCCAAAAGTTCCGCATCGAGAGTAACCAATATGGCGGAGGCGCCGCTGGCGGGCGGTCCTGAGGTAGCTGATGCTGCAGATGGTACGCCTGACGTCGATGTGGGCGGCACAACTTCCCGAGATGAGCAACCGATGCCGGCAGTCCTCCAGAATGTGATGAAGCCTTCCGCGTGGGCTAAAATGAACGACGAGGAGCGACCGTCCATGCTCGACAACACCCACATCTTGTTTCGCAACTTCGAAGAGGCGAAGCGTGAAGTAGATACTAAAGCACGGGCGTTTGCGGAAGAGGAGGTCGAAGAACAAAGGAGAGAGGCTGACGCGGCCTTGAGCGCTGCCAACAAGACAAGTGCTCACTTGGATGAGCAGATCTGACAGCTCACCCAGCAGCTCGAGCAACTCAGGTCGCTTATGGGTGGTCTGAGCTACTACCGACGTTTCCTCAGAGACATAGCCAACCGTGTGAAGTCCATTACGCACTTGCTCGAAAAAGATGTTCCCTTTGCTTTCACGAGCGACATGGAAACAACTGTTCGCAGCCTACTGGCTTAGCTCGCGAAACCGCCCATTTTAGTGTTTCCTGATTGGGACGCTATCGCGGACGGTACACGCCCTTTACGTCTTTGCTTTGACGCCAGCTTCGACGGTCTCGGCGCTGCGCTGGAGCAAGAGCAGAAAGATGGCTCGGTACGGCGAAACGTTTTTATCAGCAGAGTCACGCTCGACGCTGAACGCAACTGGACCGCTCTCGATCTCGAAGCAGGAGCCGTTGTATGGGTGATCAAGCATCTCCGCGAATTCCTTCGTGGCACACACTTCCGCATCTATTCAGACAATAAGGCGCTGGAACGTTTGTCGAGAATTAGCGAGCACAACCCACGCGTCCAACGCTGGATTCAGTTCCTTCAAGCATACAGCTACACGTTGGAGTACCGACGAGGTGCCTCCAACGGCAATGCTGACATGCTGTCTCGTCTGCCAATTGAGCCTACTGACGCCGACATCAACGGTAACAGTAGCTTGACGTTCCCCGTGGACGTTGGTGTGTTTCTCATCCGAGCGACAGGTCACGCATCACCCGGACAAACCACGTCTGGCGTTGGTGTGGATGGGCTGGCGCCCCGGAGCGAGAACGCCGCCTTGGGTGGGCTACCCCTCACTTTCGATGATTTTGCGGATTTTCGCAAACACGGGCCTCGAATGAGGATTGGCGACCTTGATGCTCCTGCAGGAGAATTCGTCGCCCGTAAGTTTTCCGTGCGTCATTGCGCGAGGACCTTTGCGACACCTTGCGGACGCCCGTGCAATGTCGTGTACCGGACACTCCGTATTTGCTGTGCCTGAGATTGCCTCCCCTGCAACCCAGAAAACACAGGACGCTGTGCCGGCACTCCGGTCTTCAGTTTCTCCTGTTGTTTCTCCGATGAGACAATTATATAGGGACAACGCCCCGGTTTACGGACCGTCTACGCGACCCCACACGGATACAGCTGCATCCGCGCTTCCTATCCACGACACACAGACCGCCGACGATAACTCTCGGTTTCCCCCTGCCGTGTCTCCTGCGACAGCAACTGTCGACGCCGGCTCCATCTCTGATCGTTTGGATGCCGCGGACTCATTGCCGCCGCCTTCAACCTTTCGGTTGCAACCGCATCGTCTTGATCCGTTGGCACTGATCTCTACTCGTGCGCGTCGCAGAACCGTGGCTGCTGCAGGTCAGCCTTAACCCGATGAAAACTGCGGTTTCGGTACTAATTTGTCGATTTCCCCACATGCTCCGCGTGCAGCTGCCGCTGCAGGTGCTCCTCGTCGTCCAACACGAGTGCCGCCAGTCGACGCCACGCCTGAGCCTGCTGTCGAACCTGTCCCAACGGTGCTCATAGCGTCGCCGGAGACGGTTACCGACGCCCCTACGGTCCTCTGTTGGGTTTGTCACAACCGGCTGCTTCAGCTGATAAGGCAACGTCCGCAGTGGATTCCATGGTCCTCAATCCTGCAGAGAATTCCGTGAATCCGTCGAACGCTACACGCGTGCCGATTGGGCGCGGGAACAGCAGAAAGAGCCGGTGTGTGAAGCCAACATCCGCTACATTCTCCTCAAACGCCCTCATAGTCTACCTGGCGATTTCTTTGCCGGAGTGTCATATCACTCCAGGCATAGACCATCGTTGGAGGATATTCGAGAGCTTGCAGATAAAGGACGCCTCCTCACTGACGATGGCCTCTGCCTCTGGGTTTGAAAACTAACCAAGCCCCCGGTCTCTTCTGACCGTCCCGCAGGACGACCTGCACGTCAGTTGAATGACGAGCCCTCTCGTATTTACGTACCCATGTTAATGCGACCTTGGGTCATGCAAGTTTGCCATGCCAACACCCTCTACCACCTTGGTACCGTTCGCACGCTTAGCGTTCTTAGAGGTTTTACTGGTGAATTGGGATGAGTATTAGTACTCGTTGGTGGATTCGGCGATGTTTAAAATGTCAGGCCCGCAAAACTGCGCGCCAGACTATTCGCTGGCCGATTCTCACGATCCCCCTGCCTTCGGCACCAGGGGTTGCGATTGGCGTCGATTATTTTGGTCCGCTTCCCACAACTCCGCGAGGTTCCTGGTATATTTTGCTATTCACTGGCCATTTCAGTCGGAGAGCCAACATGTACGCAGTGACTGACGCTGAGTTCACAGCTGAAGATACAGCCGACGTCCTTGTCAATAAAATACATCCTTGTTTGGGCATGCCCCCTCAGCATTCGTGATGACAACGGATTTCATTTTTGCTCCTAGCTTTCGGTTGCCATCCTGAAACTGCGACGCGTCCGAAAAATGACGACGAGCGCGTACCATCCTAGCGGCAACGGAGGAGCTGAACGCGTGAACCACACCATGGCCCAGATGCTGGCTATGGCTGCGAACGAACGACGAGATGATTGGGACGTTCATCTCCCTCATGTTGAATTCGCATAAAACAACACCGTTAGCGCTGCCACAGGATTGGCGCCCAATGAGGTGTATATGGCGCGCCTTCCCAGGTTTCCACTGACAGTTTTTGACATCTTTACCGCTCGTGGTCACCAGCCGCTTGCACGCGATCAGCTCGAGTGTTGAACCTTGCCGCCGATCGACGATGGCGCTCCTACGAGCTAGTGCGTGAACAACACGCACTCACAGTTTCCCGTATGGAAAGACAGAACTCGAAACTGTCCGATGCCTTACACGAACTACCCGTTTACGCTACCGATGGTTGGGTGTGGGTCTACAACAATTTGGCTACCATCCGCCAAGGTGCCAATCTCGCTTCCAAGGCCCGCGCAGACGCTGACTCCCAGGTACTCAAGAAGAAGCTGTCCTTGAATTGGACAGGTCCTTTTAAAATCCTCGCAGTCGGTCCTTGCAACAAGGCCCCCGATGGCAGCCCGGTGGCTGACAAGCTCCTGTACTTGGATCTTCCCTCCGATTTGCCCAGAGTGGATGCCAAGCGCCGAGTTTATGTCGCTCGTTACAAACCGTGTGCGAACCCACACGATAGTGACGACATGCCTCGGTTCTTGCCTGCAGGCCTCTCGCAGTACGTTCTCAACAACTACACGACGAAGTCTCCGACCTACCATGTTATCGCGGACGATGTTTCGGCGCTTGTCCGCAGGCTCGAGGTTGTGAAAATCACGGGACACCAGTCCGTTCGAGGACGTGGCGGCGTTATCGCAGTCATGTACGAGACCCACTGGAAAGGTCCTATACGCCCCTCGTGGGAGCGAGAAATGGACCTCCAACACTCCCGAAAACAGATGCTTCTGTATTGGGCTGGTACACCCGACCAACACAGGGAGACCAGCCGTCTGTATCGTCGCATGCGCATTGGCACAGCGGAACGTGAACTGTCTCGCATCAAAGGCGAGCGGTCCTCGTCGCCTGCGTACGAATATGTTCCCCGCGATGTTTGGGCCCGCCGTTTTCGCAACACCGTGCTGCCTGTTGGCGCACACTTCTGGTACAAGGCCCAAGATGCTCTATGGTGGCTAGGGAAATTCTTCGGACATACTCCAACTACAACGTCTTCTTCGTTCGTTCGCTTCCTGGATGACCCTGGAACTGTCAAGATCACCCTCTCCCCTTCGCGCTACACGGCACCTTTGGGGGCTGTTTGTGGTTCTTGATGCCTTCAGCTTCACCGAAGTAGTCCCTTCATGCGAGGTATCTTGCGCAATGTAGACGAATCGCGTGGTACGGATATTATCGCCCCTGGTTGAAGGGCTGTTGCCCTTGCCCTTGTTTTTTTGTGTGTATATGTATGTGTATATGTTTATGTGTTACATGTTTGTGTACATGGATGTTTGTCTTTGTGTTTCTCGCTCGCCCTCTCGATCTATTTTGAGACTGGCTGTTGCTTCTTTATGTTTCTAGCTCGTCCTCTGGATCTATTTTTGTGACTGGCTATTGCTTCTCTATGTTTCTAGCTCGCCCTCTCGATTATTTTGAGACTGGCTATTGCTCCTTTCTTCTATCCGTTCGCCCACTCAATCCCCTTGAGACTGGCTCTTGCTTTGGTGTTGCGTACTTTCTCGCCCCCGTTTGTCCTTTCTCGATCGGTTGTCCAAAGTTTTCGCTTCCCTTTCCCTATTTTGCAATGCGACCTAGGCTCGTCATTAGTTGCGGTGACACTCAACTGTGTGCATCGTTAATTTCCCCCCCCTATGGTTTGCTTGGCACATTTTATGGTCCAACGTTCCGTCAGTGCTTCTACTGCATGCCACGGCCAATGTGTTCCACATTTTGCTACTTTCTTTAGCAGTTTTCTTCATGCAATTGGCCTTGACGTACAAATAGAGTTTTTTTTTCATGTGCCCACCCCGATCGCAAGCACATTGTATCGTGACATGCGAACGTTTGTTGTTGGCGTTTGGTTCCTGTGCTTTTCTTTGCCCGTTGTTTACGTTCCCCGGAAACCCCCTCTTGTCATGCTTTTCTCTATTTTGGACGACCCTTGACGGTTTTCCATTTCGTTGTAACCTTTGTAGGCTCGGTTTCGTTTCTTGTTCTGTATGTTTGCATTTTAGCACTCGATCGCATCGTAGCCCCCCCTTCCCGTGAGGTTTTGGCTTACTTGATTGCGGATTCGATCTGTTGATTCGTGCGAGATCGATTGTGATCTTCCCTTCACGATTTCGTTACTTCGTGTAGTGGTCTTTTCGGTTCGGATGTTTTGGTTGTTTTTCGCACCCATGCGCCTTTTTCCGGTTTCATCCGCCGAGTTTGCCGCCCCCGGCTCCTGTGTTCTTTATCGGTTTCCCTTGTTTGGTTTGGTTAACGGAGAGGTGCGGGTGAGGGTTTTGAGTTGTCGCATCTTCGATCCATCCCGCAATCCTCTTGATTGACAGAGTCCCTCCGAGGATTGCTTCTGTATCTGCATCTACGTCCACTCAGGGTGGGCTTGTGTTATGGTATTTGGAAGTAGACATGTGATCGTGGTTGATCATGTTTTTTTGGCGCCGTCGGATGCTGGGACGTGACGTCATGATGGATCAGGGCCTTATGCCGAGACATGTGTCCTTCTGTTCAGTGTGTGCGTGCAGACGATCCATGATCATGTGTGCGTGGGATACTGTGAGTTGGCTTGGAAAGCGTTAATCAAGAGAAAGAGAACAACGGAAAGCAACAGCAACCTGCTACTGTGGTCGGACAAGAGAGTTCCACACAGCACAAAGGTAATCGATTCTGAAGGAAAGGGTCAAGTTCCCTTGCAGTTGCCCGCGATGGCACATTTCTAGCGGAATGTTTCGGGGTACATTGGGCCGTACACACGCGCCTTCTTGGTCATCAAGAACCTTGCTTTCGGTTAGCCTAGATGTTCCCAAAACCATCAAAGTACCAAAACAGACAGCGAAAGACGGAAAGAGAAAGTCTTTGCTTACCTCGGCAAGCATGAGCTGGGCGTCCGCAGACGCGTAATCCAAGGAGACAGTTTTCTTGGCCCTCTTGAGCTCTTCTAGTTGCCGGTTCACCAATGCGAGCTTGGCCTTCTTGGCGATAAGCTGAGTCTGTTCGGCGTAGTCCAACTCTTGTGCCTCATTGTCATCGTCACCTTCCCTGACACACGACGGGTCCAAACAATTGATGTAATAACGCGGGCGTTGGCATATACACACAAGCTAAAAGGTTCGTGTCCCGAAAAGACAAGCTATTTGAGATTATGTACGGCACCGTGGGATGTTCCGATACACTGCACATACGTATTCTTAACAATTGGATACGAAAGCTGCTGCTTCGAAACTGAGATTGGGAAGCAGCAGCGCGCATCCTCTCACCTCTCAGTGCCAAGAGCAAACTCCACCATTGTGCCCATGAACCCTTTTTTCTTCCCCTTCTGCTTCTCGGTCTTGTCGCTGAGACTGTCCTGTAAGTAATGTACCAAAAGATGCACAGCAAGGGTTACGGTACTGAAAATGACACGTATACCGAGAGAGGTGTTCGTACTGGTCGTGCGCTTGAAAATGAACACGTTGGGAGTTTCGACTACAAAGAGGCTCGAAACACCTTGCTCGTCCTCCCGACGGTCACTATTGAACTATGAAAGCAGAGAACCGTTGGAACCGGTCTCGAAGTGTCACTCCTGAGGATGCCAATCACTTGAAACCTTCGCCTGTAGCAGTACCTGTATTGCCTTCAGCTTCTCAATGCGGTGCTTCATTCTCTCCACGGCCGCGTCGGCGTGGTCCTTCCCGAACTGGGCCGCCGTGTCATCTCTCTCGGCGCCCCGGAAAGCGCTCATTGCTGCAGCTTGCCTGGAATGTCTTTCCTCCTCTGCCGTGATTTCCTAGCGGTGGTTCATGGACGTCGTGATCCAAAGCGACAGGGTTCCGTGGTGGCAACCGCTATGGAGTATTACCGTAGACGAACTCATAGCATGCAACAGAACGACTGTGTGCGCAACAGGTGCTTGGCGTACACGCTGGAAACGACACCGATGACGTATCGGACTGACGGTGTACGCACAACATGGGACGACCACTCGTTTAGCGTTTGAGACCGCAACCAGAGCTACATCTTGTTGTATTGTCCAAAATCGAATCATGTGTATCCGGTCTTATTCATGTTCATTGTTGTTTCCTTTCGAATTGCGTCATCATTGATGCGGTTTCTAGGCCACATGTTGGGGAGAGAGATACGCGAAACGCGCATCGCCTCGTCAGCCGTATTGTCTGCGAGGCACGGCGTTAACTGTCACAAACGCCTCTCCCTCCCCACGAAAATACCAGCCGAGGGACTGCTACTGTGAATACAGGGCTCCCCAAACTGACCAAGTCCTCAAATCGTTCACACCATCTACAAAACCCCACTAGATACCGAATGTTCCCGAGCTTATTCCACCACGTTCGAAAGAAAAGGGAGAGGATTGCGGGAGTTTTGCTGTTCTGTTGCCACAACGTTGGGCGGCCGCTGTTGTCCTTGGGTCTCTCCACGCGCTCTGTAGATTCCCCTCGTTGCTCAACTTGCTACAGCTGCTGTGTGCTCTTGTCCACGGGAGGACAAAGAGGGCTACCCTTTTCGCTCATGACCCCGGATTTCGACAAATAACGAGGCGATAATCCGACCACTACATCGATATACCCTAGGATGTAGTATCTGCTCGACGAAGAAACATTCCTCGAACTCGCATGGTGTTGGTTAGGTAGCAAATTCCATCAACTCAACACCCATTTGCCAATAGACCACAAGAGCAGTTAGGGTGGGCCCTTCCCATCCTTGCCAGGAATCCTTGGTGAGGTTCGATTACCTCAAACCAGAGTGCACGTTAAAATGCATTCAAGTCTTCCATAAGCCCAGAGCAAAGATAAAATAGCATGGAAGTTTTGGGGAAATCGTCATTCAAACCAAATCGTGAACCCCCACACGTACCGCTTCGAGGTCCGCCTCCTTTTTTTTCAGCTCTTCGTTTTTATGAGAGTTGGCCTTCCTTCTTCTCTCAAGCCGTTCCTCTCGATCCTCCAGCTTCTCCTTAGTCTTCGCCAGATCGATCTGCCAGACAAGGGTGAGGATTCGTTGGCTCCGATGGCCTGGTTGGTATCCTCGACAACCATAAGGCGACAAACCCGGGGGGAGTCGAACTTCCGGCGGGATGTGTGTTTCCCTCATTTCCGTGCCAAAGTACAAGAAGGGCGTATATTCATGGTTACACATTACTTTGGGAAACGGGATAGAGTCAAGATCTTCACTAAATAGAATCACTTCGGGGTACACCGCATTCTGAATAGGCCTGAAGCAGAGCTCGTCATTCCGAAAGACAAGGTCGTAGAACCGTAAGGTAGGTAGGATATGCGGTCGACTGTCGATAGGCCCAGTGACAAGGAGAAACTGTCGACCCCTTCAGGTATTCCGTCACTCCCTATCGACAGAAAATAGTTTGAAGCGTCGTGTACTTCGCATACATAGCATGCTAAAAAATAAAACCATGGCAAATATCCGTTTCCCTGCACAAAAATAGATAATGGCGTTCGGTGCCAACATGCTGTTTCCCGTTCGTGTAGTTCCCACGTTGTTGCATCCAGCGCACAACCAAGGCTCTCCTACCAACATGAAAACGTACATGTAAAGAAGCACTACACTCAGCAGGTGAGCACAAGCTTTGTCTACCTCGCGTTGTAGTTTGTGCACTACAGGCGTTTTTCTGGCCCATCTACAAGTTTAGGGACGTAGCATGAGAGTCAACGGTTATGTAGGACGATCGCCTCATCAAGTAATCACAATAGCTAGCCAATACGTCAGGAGAGTAGAAGCGAGCTTGGACGCGATGTGAGAATCATTCAAGCTCATGGTTCGCAGTTGTTTGGTATCATCCTATGATTGACACTTTATCCACATAGTGCGTGTATCAGGTCATCGAATGATTGGTCAAAGGGTGTCACTGGTTGTGGTGATGCCGAGCGGATGAGATCACCGAAGGCACCGACGGTATTGGTCGTAATACAAATCCAAGCATGTTCGTGGGCCGGCTGATCGACGCTCACCTCCATACGGATTCGGTCATCGTCCGACAGCGGCTCTTGAGCAGCATCTGCACAAAACAGAGTCAAAATACGAGAAAAGGCGGAGATACGGACGCAAACGAACCAGACGCTGAAAAGCCGTAATGCAGCAGAGGATCTGCGCCTCTGAGTATTCACATAACGCGATAGAATTATATCTATCGCCAGTATGGTTGTATTCGAGGCGCTGGTCGATACCTTCGGGAGCGCCCGAGCGCTTGAACGCCAAGCGTTTCTGAAAGGCCTCCATCTCGGCCTTGAGAGAAGCGACCTCCTTTGCGGCGAACGCCTCCTGGCTCTTCGCAGCAGCAACCACCGCTCGCATTTCCTGTCATCGTTGCGAAGCGGGGGTGGGGAGGTTGACCAACCCATGTCGTTGAGGTGATCAGATATCGCGCCACTACTCGCACCGTCAAGCAATCTCTTTGTCACATTGCCATACTGTAAGTGGAAGGGTCAAAGAGCAGATCTTTGCACTGCCTGAGAATTGGCATGAGGTTCCCGCCGAGGGGATACGGAGGAGAAGGCTGCAGGGCTCTGTGCGAAGCGAGTGATAAGCGCGGGGAGACAAGCAGAACCTAGGTAATTTGATCAGACGCGTTAAATGTAGTTTCACGTTCCGTGCAAACTAGTTGATTATACCTCAAGACCCTCAATGGTGCTCGCTCTGGCCGCCTTTCTCTTGTTTTCTGCCTGGGTTTGCGCCGCTAGCCAAGGCTGCGCCCTGTGGGTCGCGGGTACGTTCGGGGGAGAAACAGTCATCAGTTATTGTTATTGCCCATAATTGTATACCACAGGTAGATATTCGTTCGTTCTGAGGGCCTCACGCTCGACCCTTCTTCGTTCGACACTCACAGTCCCGATTCATCGGGGCAAGAAGGCCGTTGTGGCCAAGCTTGTATCCTTGAGTTAGCTATTCTTCGAGTACCGCACTGGAAGCGAATCAAGTTACTCACCTGTAAACCTTCCTCCATGACTCGAAAGACATATGTGCGGGGTGACGCGGGGGCTCCACCAAGGAGGCCTTAATCTTGGCGAAATGCGCGATAGGAGCGTCAGCAACGTCTCCGGTGATCGTCACTTCCTCGGTCAGGGACCTTGAGGGGGCCGAATGAACAACAACATGACAGGGTCAAGATGGTTCACAGGCCTCGCCGGCTTTCGCATCCCCGTCTAGTGTGTGTGTGTGTGTGTGTGTGTGTGTGTGTGTGTGTGTCTGTGTTCACCCCATCGATTCTGCCGTCGGTTTATAGGCCTTTCGGCGTATGTACCTGACGTATCGACCGGGATCACACAAGCACGTACCGATGACAACTACAAGAGGGAACCCCTTGCCGATGGGATGTCGAGGTAACTGGTGCCACCATAGAATGAACCAATGTCTACAAGTAACATGCCCAAGAACAAATGCAATGTTGGGGCATTTGGGATCGCCCGTAGCGAAGAGATGAATGATCAATCCCACATGCCCATTGTGAAATGAGGGCGATGACAGCTATTACCCCCAAGGAATAGAAACCCGGTGTTGAGCTTGAACCCATGTTTTGACAATGCCGTGATTCTCCTGATTGTGATATGTAGTGCGCCTGATGTATGGTGCTTTCCCCGGGGTTACTTGCGTGTCTAGGCTCGCACCTCGCCGCAGCGTTTGGTTGGGCCGTGGATACGCTACCGCTTCGGACCTGCAAAAACAAGTCATCGACCTTCAAAAACCACGGGAACGCTTCATCAACTGTGTCTACTTCTTCATGACGAATGCACATTGTTCTCCCTCAGGTGTCATGATCAAGGGTGGGGTTCACGCTTCTCGCTCGCCAGTCACAACGTGAGCAAGAAGAGCGTACAATAATCATGTACACGATTCCTAGTTACCTGTCTTCGGAGGCGATCTCCTCCTCCAGACCCCTCTGTAAGGACGCTTGAACCTTTCCGCGAACGCTCTGTTCCTTGTTCTTGTCAGAGGAACATAGGTGAGGTTTCCGAAGGAAGATACTAGACGTGATTTTGCGTTGGTTGCATTAGGAGAAAGTTCTACTGCCCTTCTATTAGCGGGACAAACTCATTCTTTCAGCAAGCGGTTTTTCTGGGAACAGTGGTCGGGCAAGCCTTCTACCTACGATGTTGGTCATATGTTGCGCACATTGAAGAGCGAAGGTGCTTGAAACTAAGGCGACCAGTACCAAAGGATAAACGGCACCACTAGCAACATCAGAAACGCCATTACAACAACAACAACAACAACAACAACAACAACAACAACAACAACAACAACAACAACAACAACAACAACAACAAGTACCTTGAGCCTGGTTACCCTTGTGGTCCACAAGAACTTTTCGTCTGTGCCTTCCTCCGAGGAGGTTTTGGCTAGCTCCGCTCCCACCCTGAAGCAATCCGCAACGGTTTGTTGGAGGGAGAAACAACGAAGGTTTGGAGCCGACTCGAAATGATTTTTAACGCCACACAAGACACGACTTGGCTGCACCTCCACTCTGAAATCAATGCCCACCGACATCACCGGCGGTAAGGGTGATCAAAGTTCTCGGGTGATAGCTGATAAAAGGTGGACGATTGATGGGTACTTCATCAGACGTAAGAAGTAGTCACAAGCTAGGTGTCATCACGTAAAACAGTCTCATTGAGAGTCATTTGTCGAGCGTGGTGGAACCTCAAGACTCATGGCGGTTCAGAGAAATGACGTGTTCACGGAATCAGCCAAAAATCCCACCAGCTTGCTGGCTCAACCGCCAGGACTCACCGTTCTGCCCCGAGTTGTGCGTCAATATGGTAAGCTTTGAGAAGTTCCTGGAGGTTTTCCCGACACTTGGAGACGTGTTCCTTTTCTTTCAAAAGACGGGCCGTTTCCGACTCCAAGAGATTCTCCTGTAAATTCAGTAGCGGACGAGACACACAAGACCAATTTCTTTTCATACCCGTCCGTCAGAATAGCCGGGTTATTTCTTTCGTCTTTGTTACATTTAGCCAAGAATTGCTGTTGGGAGTGGCATCCTTGGCATTTTCAATTGTATACAATCCTCATGGGCAAATGAAGGCAATGCACAGAAGGGTGGGAATTAGGTCGGGCCACAACCGGTTGGAGTTTATGTTGGATGCTAGTCTGAAGGATCCGAGGTTCACCTGCTCAAGATCAATCATCAACCGCTGCTTCCCCGCGCGTGATATCTGGTCCGAAAGCCAACCCCTGCGAGAACGAATAGAAGTGGGCACCAACACACGGTGGTGGTGATGTTTAAATTCCATGTAGTGCATGCTTATCGCCAGTTTTGACCACTTTTTTTCATCTGGCGACTTTGAGAATCGCATGGTCTAAGAGCCTACATATGCAAATCGTCATTTGTAGGCATCCGGCCCGTAGACCACAACCCTAACCTTATCGTCGGGGATACGAAGAGTACGACGCCACAGACAGGAGACCGAGACGGTACTACGCCTTCTTCAGTCTGGGCGGGAATCGTCTTTGGAAACACTACACGGACTATAGTTTTCGAAGGCAGTGGGACGGACGTCGAGAGATGACGCGACTTCAATCGACTGAGCGCAAATGAGGTAAGTACCCACGCTTTAGCAATGCCGAAACTTTCAACACCAGTGTAAACAACATCATGTTGGCAGCGCTTGTTTACCTGAAAAACTCCTGCTCCAGGACGTCAGCGGCCCCGTCTAGCTTCTTAGTCGCGAAGGCCACCACTTCATCGAGGACATACAGCTCTTCTTCCAACCACGCGAACGTGTGTCGCGAACCTCTGGTCATTGCATCGAGAAATACGTTTTTTGAAACTCTTGGTTTCATTTTGTTGGTACATACTGTTCTCAAACATCTTGTGAGCTGGTGCGACTCACAATGTGGTTGAACAAGCAACAAATACTATCTTGAGGATCTGACCCAACAATCTCTGAAAGACGAAAACCATGAGTCATGCCAAGATTTTCAGGAGGTTCTCTTATTCCAGGTTGTAGTCTCCTGATAGGCTTAACGGACTCACGCTTTGCTAGACAGGTTGGACTCACAACGTGGTGGAACGAATAACAAATACTATCTTGAGGATCTGACCCGACAATCTCTGAAAGACGAAAAACATGAGTCATGCCAAGATTTTCATGAGGTTCTCTTATTCCAGGTTGTAGTATCCTGATAGGCTTAACGGACTCACGCGTTGCTAGACAGGTTGGACTCACAACGTGGTGAAACGAATAACAAATACTATCTTGAGGATTTGACCCAAAAATCCCTGGAAGACGAAAGACATGAGTCATGCCAAGATTTTCATGAGGTTCTCTTATTCCAGGTTGTAGTATCCTGATAGGCTTAACGGACTCACGCGTTGCTAGACAGGTTGGACTCACAACGTGGTGAAACGAATAACAAATACTATCTTGAGGATTTGACCCAAAAATCCCTGGAAGACGAAAGACATGAGTCATGCCAAGATTTTCATGAGGTTCTCTTATTCCAGGTTGTAGTATCCTGATAGGCTTAACGGACTCACGCGTTGCTAGACAGGTTGGACTCACAACGTGGTGAAACGAATAACAAATACTATCTTGAGGATTTGACCCAAAAATCCCTGGAAGACGAAAGACATGAGTCATGCCAAGATTTTCATGAGGTTCTCTTATTCCAGGTTGTAGTATCCTGATAGGCTTAACGGACTCACGCGTTGCTAGACAGGTTGGACTCACAACGTGGTGAAACGAATAACAAATACTATCTTGAGGATTTGACCCAAAAATCCCTGGAAGACGAAAGACATGAGTCATGCCAAGATTTTCATGAGGTTCTCTTATTCCAGGTTGTAGTATCCTGATAGGCTTAACGGACTCACGCGTTGCTAGACAGGTTGGACTCACAACGTGGTGAAACGAATAACAAATACTATCTTGAGGATTTGACCCAAAAATCCCTGGAAGACGAAAGACATGAGTCATGCCAAGATTTTCATGAGGTTCTCTTATTCCAGGTTGTAGTATCCTGATAGGCTTAACGGACTCACGCGTTGCTAGACAGGTTGGACTCACAACGTGGTGAAACGAATAACAAATACTATCTTGAGGATTTGACCCAAAAATCCCTGGAAGACGAAAGACATGAGTCATGCCAAGATTTTCATGAGGTTCTCTTATTCCAGGTTGTAGTATCCTGATAGGCTTAACGGACTCACGCGTTGCTAGACAGGTTGGACTCACAACGTGGTGAAACGAATAACAAATACTATCTTGAGGATTTGACCCAAAAATCCCTGGAAGACGAAAGACATGAGTCATGCCAAGATTTTCATGAGGTTCTCTTATTCCAGGTTGTAGTATCCTGATAGGCTTAACGGACTCACGCGTTGCTAGACAGGTTGGACTCACAACGTGGTGAAACGAATAACAAATACTATCTTGAGGATTTGACCCAAAAATCCCTGGAAGACGAAAGACATGAGTCATGCCAAGATTTTCATGAGGTTCTCTTATTCCAGGTTGTAGTATCCTGATAGGCTTAACGGACTCACGCGTTGCTAGACAGGTTGGACTCACAACGTGGTGAAACGAATAACAAATACTATCTTGAGGATTTGACCCAAAAATCCCTGGAAGACGAAAGACATGAGTCATGCCAAGATTTTCATGAGGTTCTCTTATTCCAGGTTGTAGTATCCTGATAGGCTTAACGGACTCACGCGTTGCTAGACAGGTTGGACTCACAACGTGGTGAAACGAATAACAAATACTATCTTGAGGATTTGACCCAAAAATCCCTGGAAGACGAAAGACATGAGTCATGCCAAGATTTTCATGAGGTTCTCTTATTCCAGGTTGTAGTATCCTGATAGGCTTAACGGACTCACGCGTTGCTAGACAGGTTGGACTCACAACGTGGTGAAACGAATAACAAATACTATCTTGAGGATTTGACCCAAAAATCCCTGGAAGACGAAAGACATGAGTCATGCCAAGATTTTCATGAGGTTCTCTTATTCCAGGTTGTAGTATCCTGATAGGCTTAACGGACTCACGCGTTGCTAGACAGGTTGGACTCACAACGTGGTGAAACGAATAACAAATACTATCTTGAGGATTTGACCCAAAAATCCCTGGAAGACGAAAGACATGAGTCATGCCAAGATTTTCATGAGGTTCTCTTATTCCAGGTTGTAGTATCCTGATAGGCTTAACGGACTCACGCGTTGCTAGACAGGTTGGACTCACAACGTGGTGAAACGAATAACAAATACTATCTTGAGGATTTGACCCAAAAATCCCTGGAAGACGAAAGACATGAGTCATGCCAAGATTTTCATGAGGTTCTCTTATTCCAGGTTGTAGTATCCTGATAGGCTTAACGGACTCACGCGTTGCTAGACAGGTTGGACTCACAACGTGGTGAAACGAATAACAAATACTATCTTGAGGATTTGACCCAAAAATCCCTGGAAGACGAAAGACATGAGTCATGCCAAGATCATTAGGAGGTTTTCTTGTCCCAGGTTGTATTCTCCAAATAGGCTTAACGGACTCACGCGTTGCTAGACAGGTTGGACTCACAACGTGGTGGAACGAATACAAATACTATCTTGAGAATTTGACCCAAAAATCCCTGGAAGACGAAAGACATGAGTCATGCCAAGATCATTAGGAGGTTTTCTTGTCCCAGGTTGTATTCTCCAAATAGGCTTAACGGACTCACGCTTTTCTAGCCAGGTGGGCAGCATGCCGCCGGTAGTGCTGCCTAATGAAAGCCCTGGTCCAGTACAACCCATTCTCCACTATCTCGAACATGTTGGTCTGATGCAGCATGCGGATATCCTGCAATGACATTGGTCGAGGCTGTGGGAGTCAGAAGGAAGACGAGACGGTATATCCTTGCGCTTGTTCCGAGAGGAGGGGAAAGCGCTGCCCTGCCACGTTCAAGAGAGCTTGACAACATGTGACTCTTGAGTGCGAGACCCCGTTACCGCATTCCCATTTTGAATCCAAAGGGGTGGTTCAGATGATCGATGCTAACATCTTGGCGGAGGAACTGAACTCATTTCTTACTCTTTTCAAAAAGAATCTTCCAAAAAACAAATATTACGTTGGGTAGGTCACAGGGGAGGGGGGCATTGTGCATGTTCACCATAGCGACGAACGCAGGAGATCTGCAGGAGAACCGGTTTCTTCGCGTGCCGTCAGCCTTGGTGAGAGCGTTCAGGCAACCTTCACGTCGAGGGACGCGTACCATTCCGGTGTCTAGGACTACAATATTCTTCTATGCACTACTGTAGGTCACAAACAATGTGCGCACCTGGAGCTCGATTTTCTTCGCGAGACGTGTGCTCTCCGGGTCATCCGGGGGCAGAGCGGGATCCAGAACGCTTTTTTCTTCCTAAAAACACATCAAAAGAGTCACGTCGATCACCCAATGCGTATTGTGAGCAAATCATTCGGGTGGATATAGTAGGGGGGAGGGAACTGCCATAGTGACAATGGCGACTTTCCCGGTGTACCACATGAAGATTTGGGAAGAATTAAGTCGACACCACCTGACGCTGGCGGGAGGAAAGGCGAACGGTTGCTGTCCCGACAAAGAAGATCGGGGTGGGTAGGTGAGGAAATGAGACCAAGTCATTCGCAAGGTTTTCAAGGCAGCAAGCGCTCGTGACTGCCATGTTTCAGCTCGGCCATTCCAAAGCGGAACAGTAGTGTCGACGGCTGACGCCGCGGAAGTCTTCTCAACGTCATCCTGACTCACAGGGTCGTAATTCAATGGTCTTCCATTCATTGCGGCGAACTTCTGCTAGCTTAATTCGGACCACGACAGCGTGGTAAGAGGCTTTTCTTGCTTATCTGGCGTAAAGACGCGCCAAGGACATTCTATTTCACTAACGCCGAGCACAAACTAGACTAGCAACGATAGGGGGCGCGTGTCTTCCTGTTCTCGCCTGCAGACGGGTCCACGCTGACCTCGCGGCCACTCGTCGGGCCTTGAGCAAGTTTCTCTTTGCTTGCAGCATTGTGTGGTTCTCGACCGCCCACCGGACGTCCGACTCGAACGTCCTGTGGCCCAGCCGAAGAGAAGGGAAGCACGATCAAAAGGTGCGTACGGGGCGGGCCAAGGAACACATTCGCGGCGGTCAAGCTACTCAAAGTTGGAGACTACATGTAGGCCGACAAACAAAGTGTTATTCTTTATACCGTACCTGGTCGATTCTTCCTCGAGGTGTATCATTTTCGATATGGCCGCTTCCCTTTCCCACCGTCGCCGGAAGGCACAGTCTCGCCTCGCCCTCGCCGCCGCCGCCGTCTTGTCTCGCGACATTCCGGGGAGAATTGGGCGTACGCCCTCGGGGAGTACTACCGCCAAGCCCGCATACGTCTCGCCAACACTGGCCGCTGACTCTTTCAGAAAGTGCCGGACGGAGAAGCCCCTGTACAGCGCTTGGACTCGTGTTGCCGTTTCCTGCAGAGGAGTAAAAACACCAGGTGTTTGCTCGCGTTCAGCATCTACAAATTCGTACATGTAAAAAGCGAAAAGCGAGAGAAGAACGGTTCTTCTTTCGCGACTTGAATCGAGGAAATCGGTACATGTTGGTATTGACAAAAGCGAGGCCCTGCAGGACACCTGATATTAAACCTAACCGGTGTTGGCCGTTGGGTTGCCTGTAAATAGCATGTGATCGGTAGACGTCGGGGCTTGTTACGTTCTCTCTCTCTCTCTCTCTCTCTCTCTCTCTCTCTCTCTCTCTCTCTC